CAATTTTAAGCAAACAATTGCATGCAATTCACTACATTTTCTGTCTTGTACAAAGAATAATTGAAAAACAAATTTCTTGTCTAATAAGCTATACATGCTGTATAATGTGGCTCGTAAGGATCAGCAGACTGTGTTTCACATTTTGAGGCCGCTTTCTTCCCAGTATTATCCATACTGCTTTTATGCGTTATAAATAGAAACAAGAATGCAACCAGTCTATCTTATAGATATGTCACACATGAACTATGTGGAATAGGTGAACAAAAAGTTATACTTACTATAGGTCTCATCCCCAGCAGTATCGCCGCCCCTGCAACAGTTCTGTTAAATGTGGCCTTCCCCATGCACCACCCTGGAAACCGGTTAGAATTGTTACTCTAATGTGGCGATTATCATATGGCATAATTATAATCGAGAATATACACTTGCTACAATGATCATTTTTCTATTCCATGTTACACAACGCGTAGTATGTGCGTCTTTTTGACTTATAAATAACTTTAGACACATAAATCAAACATCTTTTCAAGTTTAAAGTGACCTTTACGATTCCAGTCTATTAAATTGTTTTCCAATCCAACTCAAAACCAATGCACCAAGAGAAAAAAAATACAGAGATATCAGCTTCCTTCTATTTTCACAAATTCGGAAGAACAATAATGTCAGATAAACAGCGACACCTTGACCAATATGACACTGCCATGCCAATTTGCCATTAGTTAACTTTGTCCACGTGATTTCATTGAGGACTGACTAATCCCTTATCTGTGAGAATAATAAAGTGTCTGGTTCGTGTAAGCTAGTATATTGTGCTTATTACGTACAAGAGATTACATTGGTTGATGTGACCCTAACTAAGAAAAGAATGGCATGTATTTATGAATTAGTGTAGGTTTTATATAGAGGCTACTCACAATATGTACTGAGGGACATCCACAAGTCGGTCATTCACTATTGAATCACCTGTCATGTGTGTTTACTCTGCGGACAAGGGTACCAGATACCCGTACAGATCGTAATTATGAGTCCACCATAAAATTTTGAAATGCATCAGCTAATATATATCGGAAAAGAACCTACATATGTGATGTCTGTAAAAACACCTTCCCCACAAAGGAAGACCGACGAGAACGTATGATAATACATACCAGTAATAAACCATACGGATGCAGAAATTGCGATTTGTCTTAAAGACAGTTAAAAACTATTAAAGATAGTGTACTAAGTGTCTTTCTACGTCCGTCGGCTTGAATCAACATGCGAGATTACGTTCTGCTGATAAACACAACAAATGTGGCGTTTGTAACCGACAATTTGCTGTGAGAGGTGACCTGAATCGACAAATCAGGACTCGTTCTATCATCATTTGCGTAGCTGTCTATTTCTATCTGTTCTTTCATCTACTGTTCGTTATATTAATTGTCCCGTGTATTATTAATTGCCCTCTACATAATCTTGGCACTAATTGCATGGAAGCACCCAGGAAACATGTCGTTGCTAGTGTTAAAATTGTGTAATCATTCACCACTGAATGTGTGTTAGTTACTATACAGATTATATGTATACAATGTATAAACAGGCTTGCATAATTGCTCAGTTACAATGCCTAATTCATTAAATTAATACCTGTAAATTCAGCTAAACTTTCATTCAGATTTCTTTAACATTCACTTGATGGTTTGAGATTTCAGTTTTTGATATCATAAATTCTAAAATGTTTGGCTTTATGATCAATTTACTGACTGAATTATTATGTTAACATATATGTCATGGCAGAAACATATAAACGCATAATACGATTGAGGAATGGGCGGCGTGTTCTGTGAAGTGGAAACAATATATGGCGGATCTCTTTACAAACGTCGTGTTGGGAAATTTACAAGTATAAGAACACAAAACAAATGACCGAAAACAATCGACAAAACAAAGTACAACACATCATAGTCAAACCAGTAAAAAAATGATATATGAACTTCGTGATATTTAGCAAGTGAAGGTAAAAGTACACTATAGCGTGAAATCATGGATCATTAGTAAAAAAAATCGAAATCGATAGTACAAGTAAACGAAGATACATTCTACCATTTTACTCTCGAAGATTCGGAAGTGTCGCATTTTTTTATAAGAAGAGTGGTTTTTAAGAAAATCCGTAAGCTTAAAGTCGACATATTTGGCTTTCCAACGATATCTTACTTATCGTGCTACACCATATACATGCGAAGATATAGTATTATGAATAATAAAAACTCACTCCGATGACCCATTTTTCCTTCGCTAACGACGAAAAATGATGTGTGGCGATACTAAAAATATTGCTGGCCCGAATCCAGCGCATAATTTAGCACACAAGAACTAGATTTCATTTTATATGGCAGAAAATTTCAAATTTTCAAAGACCACGGTATTCAAAATAACCATCTCAGTTTCGTGTTCATATTTTTTTCCAATACTATGTTAACTTTTTATTTGCACTAAGATGCGTCTTCAAATAAGATCTAATGAATACAAATATATTTGATTCTCATTCATGTAACACTGGATTGAAATGAGCAACTCCAATGCCAATGTTTACATAATTTAAAGGGGAACGGCCTCCGTTGATATATATTTACAGTGCGAAAACTAATATTTTACAGAGTAAACTCATACTTGCGTGAATCAATAAATATACTATTAGAGAAAAATGCTAGGATGCACAGGCTATGTACATGATCTTTTATAATTGATTCAGAAAAAAAAATGTTCTAGGGCCACATGTTAGCTATTTTCCATGTCGTGGTTTATGGACACTTTTTGGCTAGAGCTGTAAACCTAGGTTGAGCTTTCTTTATTTTGTTGAAGCCCGAAAAACTGGGAGAGAAAGTCCACCCACATAGTACTTTTACAGCTAAGAAATTGATATTAAAGACCATTCCGAAGCCTAACAATAGAGAATGTCAAAAATATCCGCTTTCTACATGTTGATGAACGCCATATTGAGTGTCATACATGTGGTCACAGATGCAGTCGCTCTTTATCGTGTGCTTTGCGTAACAGAAATTGCCACTGGGGAACTCACTGCTAGAAAGGCTGTCAAAAGAAGTTCGAAAAACGCTACGCATAGGAAGTCAAGTTCATTGTCATATTTTAAAATTGTTCGTCCGACTGATGATGTTTCTGCTAATTAATCCAAAAGTATTATTGTATTATTCTACGCGTTGTTGTAAATTTTGAAGTACACAACAAAACATTGCCTCTCTGCATTATACTTCCCAATGAAACCTGGTGTGCCACAAAGATGTCTAGTATGCCGTGCTGCCAGCCGCCTCTCTGAGCTCTATAGAAATGTAACGTACTGTATCTCTATTCACCATTAACACTGATGTCGTCAACTATATTGCTGCCAAGGGAAGACTATCATGTATATTGTGCTACGTCATAATCAACCATAATTCTCAAGTATCCGCACCAAATTCCCCGACTGACAGAGAATTTGTCGAGTATTTCGTTTAATTGTTTCCAATGGTTTAACATTGACGTCGATTCATAATGTTGTTGCGATAACCTCAACTAACACGAAAAAAGTGAAGGAAGAAGTCACCATTTTTTGATTGGCGGTCAACATTCTTTCCAAGCATTCCGATCAAAAAAAGTTATCCCAGAATGCAAGCTCATCATGTTGATTTACAACTCCATTGGCGACATACTCACTCAGAGAATATTTGATGGCACCGAATTTAATGAAACTAACTTGTATCATTATTTCTTTGATATAATAAACAAGGCATAAGTATTAACAGAAGGTAGTAAACAATTTTACCGACAGACTCTCAAAGCTCTAATATTCTCATACATCACAGAACAACATTACACATATTCCTGCGTTGACCATTTATTTAATATACCACTATTACATTAGATTATATTTAGCACATAAACCCATTACCGTAAGTTATACTAGACGATTAACTATGAAACTAATAGTATAAGTATCTATACTAGCACAATTCAATTTCAGAATGTGACACATATTTTACAATAACATAATCAGTACTGATTTCGATACTGAGCCATGCATTTCCTGAAAAAAAAGGGTACGCCGCTAACATACTATTTATTAAAACGAGTCCATTAAACCATTAAAATTGTCCTTAATTTCCAATAAACGATTATTCACATCTGTAATATAAAGAATAATGCAGAAAATAAAATATACTGAAGTGATAATAGATGGTGTGGATGGCTCAATTATTTGAACAAAGGCAACAACTGATCATGACCGTCATTTAATTCTACACTTTATCATAGATATACCAGTACTGTAGTTTGAGGCTCAGTGTCACAAATCGACGTAGTTATGTGTCACGAAAATGTAAGCAAAGGCATTATGGGTAATCATTGCGAATGCTCACATGAGTAATTATAATTTATCCAATAATTATATTTTAGATGAGTATTTGAGTTCATTAACATTTATATTGTCATAAATTTATATTAATGTCAAAGAACATTTAAAAAGAGCGCACGAGATTTAAATCCAAAGTGCGTGCGAATCAAAACATAAAGTTTGCTCAATTTCATATAATAATTATCGCTTGGATTTTTTTCTAGGAAATTAGTTTATGGATATAGAATAATAATGAAATGATTCAGCCCAGTTCACCAACATCTATCGTAGTAACATTTTATATTACGTCATATTTTCATGTACTACGAACACAGAGAAAAGTTGGATGTATGACTATTTGAAATTCTAATTAGCCGCCAGTCGGCCATATTTGATTAAATAGAAGACAAAAATGACGATCGTAAAGTTTGAAAGGAATTAGATTTATACTTACTCAATTTCTGGTACTTTCCAACTCTCGCCAAATTCAACAGCGTCATTAGCCATAGTACCATCGGGCTTTTGAAAGTCATCATGGCTATCACCATTGTAATTACCCAATAACCCACGCAGCTTGTCTTCATAATCAAGACCAGATATATCAATACTGAATATATGTCTTCGCAATGTCCAATCAATCTTGAAAGTGGTATCTTTAAGTGTGAAACTTAGTAAAATGTTTTTATCAGTTTGAATGATATGTATCTTGGACGCTGCTCCCTTTGCATGTTTCTATAATAAAGTAGACAATTGTGTAATTAATGGAGGAATAATGTTGTAGTATATATTTATTAATCATAATAACTTGTTAATTACAAAGTTAGAAACAAATATTGCTTTGAATTTTTACTTACAGAAACGACGTCGAGTCTGTCCACTTCGGCACAGTCATCCCCTACTGTTATATTGAGAGCTACCACTCTGGTTCTTATTTCTCCATTGGGACGATCTTCTCGTGGTTCAAACCTAGCAGTGATTTCGAAATCTGGTTTAGAGTTTGAGCTGTCTTTCACCAGGGTGTACCAGCAGACGCCTTGATGGCTGTAATGATGACCATCCAATGTGGTAAAATGAGGATCACATGTAACAGCGCCACCTGTTGAAAAGTTGAATGAAGATCATAACAATAAATTTGGCAGCATGAACGTTAATTTATATAAGGTGATAGTTTACAACAAGACGCGTACCATAATCACGTACCATATTCAAAGACGCTATAATTTGTGTCAGTTGGATTATATAAATGTTATTAAATCTTTGATTTCTAATCTGAGAATTGTAATTGGTGTCAATATTGTGGGCATTATGCACAATGCGTGTAGTGTAGGATAGAGTTTATTTGTAATTGTATAGTACTCACTACATATATCCACATCTCTGATTTTCTCAGTTCCCTGCATCAAAAGGGTTGAAATGTCCCATGAATAAATATTGCCATAGTCAAGCTTATTAATAATTTCTTGGTATGTAAGCACACGATCCCACAGGTTGAATTTCGTCATTTTACCAACAAACGCTTGAAATGGGTCAAAACCTCCCCCAACGGTGTCTTGATCCTGACCCAGTACAAGAACGCCACCTCCCTGAATCGGTGTTCCTTCGGAAACTTTTCCAGATCCAACTAACACTCCATCTACGAATATTTGCCAGCGACCTGTAACCGACGTCCATGTCAAACAGATGTAGTGGCACACACCATCATTGACAGCAACGCCAGTTGTCGATCTATAAATACCATTGATGAGTAATCTCAAATAACCATAATCATACAAAATCATCTCGTTGTGAGTACCAGGTACTGCATAAGAAACCAGGGTACCGTCATTGGTGCTAGTTGACTTCATCCATAGACAGAAAGTGACTTCAGTCAATGAAGGTACAGGCGTAGTAATTCGTACATTAGAATCTGTGTCGTTATAACATATTACATTTGCTGAAATGTAAACAAAATAGTTTAGGCTTAGAAATGCCACAATTGTGCCTTCAAATGCAGTTAATGCACTTATATATTCACATGGCCAATAATGGTAATATGTAAAAAGCATTGAAAGTTATATCTCCAGCATAATGTAAATTCTTCACAATTTAAGAAATATATAAAAATAATTCTCAACAAACACCCTCTTTATTGTAGCACTGGGATTATATGCAACCGTTTTATTTATTGGAAGGGCATGGCTGCATATATATATTATATATCCTCTACACCGATGCAAAAGTTTCCTATATCTATATGTGGTAACGCACTTGTGACGTCACGTACGTAGAGTATATGCAAGGTACCATTCGATGTTTAAACATGTGTTAATCAGATTATTAAAATCATACGAGTCTGATAATAAGTGGTTATTGATATTTTCTGACATTATGCACAATACACTAGAGAGGCTATGACACAGAGTAGCACGTGGTCTATGATAGTGCTTTTTACAATTACACATGATTATTTTGATAATTAAGGATAATACTCACGACATATATCATCATCTCTTATTTCCTCGGTTCCCTGCATTAGAAGAAGATTAAAGTCCCATGCATAAATATTGCCCTGATCAAGTTTATCAATAATTTCCTGGTTGGTAAGTATATAATCCCACAGGTTGAATCCCGTCAATCGGCCAATGAACGCTTGAAATGGGTCAAAACCTCCACCAACACTGTCTTGCTCCTGGCCCAGTATTAGAACACCACCTCCCTGAATCGGTTTTCCTTTGGAAATTGTACCAATTCCAACTGATACTCCATCAACGAATGCCTCCCATCGACCAGTCGCTGATGCCCATGTCACGCAGATATGGTGGCACACACCATCATTGACAGCAACACGATTTATCGTTCTAAATTCTTGATTGATGAATAAAGCCAGATTATCGTAGTCGAAGAGAACCATCTCGTTGTGACTACCTGGTACCGCATAAGATACCATAGTACCATCATTGGTGTTAGTTGACCTCATCCATAGACAAAAAGTGACTTCGGTCAAGGATGGTACAGGTGTAGTAATTCTTACATTAGAATTTGTGTCTTTATAATATAATAGACTAGCTGGTGCTGAAAATAGATTAGGGTTGGAAATATTAAATCTGTGAGTCAAATGATGTTAAGGCGCACAAACTGTACGGGGATTACCTCGTCCAGTATGGCATCAGAAATATCCATAGCTTACATACTCCAGAACATGTAGAATATTGATTCATGTTCATATATTGCGACGTCACAACCAAGATTAATGCAAGACTAAACAATATTCATCGTGAATTTCCAACAATTCCATTAGACGAAAACGTATTATGAATTTAAAGGTCATGGCTCTACATAAATGCTTACACTAGTTCTCATTGATTATGCAATTCCAAGTAAAAAAAAAGAATCATTGTAACATTACATTACATGACATGTTATATACTCAATATTCGTAACAATCATTCAAACACGAAACAATTAAATCAATATTTAGAAATATTTAGAAAACATGAAATAACCACACAGTGAAACACCTGCTTACCTGCACGTTTTTGTAATGACTTCTGTAAAAAAAAATTGTCAATGCCAATTCATGAATATACAATTAGTTTTCCACAATTCTTAAAAGTTCCACATACCATACCTATTACACAATAGGATACTTTACAATCACATTATACAATATTGTGTTTATGAGGTCGTCTTGAACTCGATAATTATAGTGTTGACGATTCTGTTAACAATTAACATATCTGCCCATACATATAGAGGACCAATTTTAAAATATTTCTGAAGAACATTAATATACAAATGGATCACAAGTTGTGTCGAAATTTGTATAGGATTAATGTAATAAGTCGGTTATTAACATAGGATGACAATTTACCTTATCGTCAAACTTTGCGCACAGTGCATGGTTGATACCTAGATAAACTGTTATATAGTACAGCAAATACACCTGCATCCTGGAATCAAGATTACATTATTGTTACAAGTTTGTTTAATGGTAATCTGAACAATGTTCAACACAATAATATAAACCACCTATTCCTTTTATCTGTGATTTGCAAGTATGTGGAAACTATAGGTAAGTTTAAATAATTATGATGCCACAATAGATTCGTGTGAATAAATTATCATAAATTTAATATATATGTTTTAATTGTAGAGTAATGACGTCGTGAATAAATTATGACGTCACATTCGTTATGGCATCATTTCAGGTTCAATGACACCTATTTTTTTAATCGTACGAGTAATGAAGTCACACTCGGTATGAGTTTGATGATTGAACTGTAGAGGGCGCTCACATACATACTGTTGTGTAACCTTAGTTGTGACACCACACATTGAATTAACTTTTAATATAGTTGAATTAACTTTTAATATAGTTACGATATGAACTATATTAAAACGCGTTCCTATATAGGAAAGTTGAATATCCCGTAACTAAACATAGAAATGTTTGTGAAGCTTAGATTTAGAGTTGAGGAAGGTTATATTAATATTAATATAAATTGAACCTTCCCCCGATACTAAACATAAGCTTCGCAAACATGACTTAAATTCGATTAAATATTAATATAATTTATGAAAAATTGTGAAGCCAGTGTATGTGGCTTCATAATTCTGGGTGGCTTCATAGCGTTGGTGTGTTCCAGGTACAATGGCTTCATAATCAACCACCCCCCCCCCCCCCCCACACACACACACACGCGCACACCCATTCATTCTGCATACGATATTAAATGCACGGCGTTTTATTGCATACTAATACAGTTTATAATGGTTAAAATTGATGAAATAGTTACATGGAGTATCAATTTATAGCGTGGTTAAGTATTTTGAACGCCACTAAATATAATATAAGTAATTGATTTAAAAAAAACTGTTCATTATATATGTTGTGGTATGATTTCAGATAATTGAAAATCCATTTGATAAATCTCGGGCAGTAATACATAGACTTTGACGTGAATCTATGAAATAACATACGGGAATAACGCGTGGAGTAAACGCAATCTATCTCGCGTAAAGCTTGAAGAATGTATTGCTGGAGTTCATAAATCATCCAAAGTACCATAATCCAAGCTTATAAAGAAAGGTGTTGGCGCTGGGACCCGTGATTGATCTGACAGCCAAGACAGTTTATTTGGATAATTGTCTACAGATTAAGCTAGCGATCGCCTTTTCCATAACGATTTCATCAAATGATTTGCTTATTTCTACAAAGGGTAAACTAATGCTGCATTTCGTGGGATAACTTTGAAAGTATTTATGTATACTGATACGTCCTCACTATTTGCTGAAGTTGAACTGCTGGTGTTCATTTGATCCGTCGTGTATGTTTTTCTCACGGAATATCGATATGGTGAGACAAGGTACAGGATTCTACAGCCGGGTAATTGTCTAGCGATTGAGACATGCAGTGTTAGCTTCGAGTCAACTCCACGAGAACAAATGTAGGTAATGTTGTATTTTCTCGCACTTCATGTTGCGTTATTTGCAATCATAAGCAAGATAACTCCCAATCCAGCCTTCGCCAAGCTAAATCTCACTCGTTCTGGGAAAGCTTGGACAGAATTCAAATTTTGACAGAGCATACATAGAAATGGTCACAAAATTGATGACAGATACTAAAAACGACGTCACAAATATATTCTTTGTTTCCGACGAGATGGTGAATGTCCAGCAATACAATAAAGACAGCATTACCAGGTGGATCTTGAGTGCCTAACATCATCCTTGATGTCCCACCGCCTAGTGTTTTTGGCATTCCTCGTTTCCGCTTTCCCTGTGGATTCCATGTCAAGGCTTGTCTGGTTTGCTTCCAGAGCTCAAGGTTGCTAATATTATCCGGCCAATGAATTTTTAGGATTGTAGGCAGGCAAAGGTCTGTACTTTGTGGGTTGTTGTCTTTGTGGTACGCAGCTCTGGTTTTGCCGAACCGGGATTTGACATCAATGGACCAGGGTACTGCAAAATAAACGACTTATACATTATGAAAATCACATCCATTCCGGTTGATTTGATATTCATCAGTCAGTTGCCCAAAAGGGTCATTCTGTGTCTGGTTTCCAATGCGTTTTCCAATGGATCCTACGAAACCAATCAATTCACCTTCCAGAATCGCAGTATTACATCATTCGTTCTCAACATTAGAGGCAAGCAAGTTTCCGCAAAACCATTGAAGTTGGACTTAACAGCAGATTGTGATAGAAGTTGGACAAGACCGAGACAATGGCATCATTTGAGACGAATATCTCGAAAGGTAGACAATCTTCACATTTGACCTCCTTCTCGACAAATCGACCAGCGATTATCAACTCAGACAGGCATTGATGGAGACTGAGGCCGTTTTGATTTATGCTGAATATGACAACGTCATTAAGATTGACAGAGACAGAAATGTATTGAACTAGCTGTGATGGACACGAATCAACTGGGTTGTATTCTGTCATCTGATATGTACTTGTGAAATGCGTTTTTTGACGATTACGCTAGAGACCATCTGTCTAAGTGAGAGTGTTGGAGTATCCTGCAGCATTCGGATCTAACACAGATGACAGTAGCAGGATGGGGCGCATTGGGTCACTTTCTATTTGAAGGACCACTTACCACAGAGAATATTTTGGCTTATACGTTAGTCCACCATATGGCGCGGAATTTAAAAGATTTCTTCGTAAGTGGATATACAATCATCGCATACTTCAAGCATCATTCTCTACAGTGTGTGGTAAATATGTCCTGTAATTCATGTTGTGTAGATGTCAAGGGAAATAATCCACTCCGTAGTTGAATCTTTCACTCGTGATGAACAGATATATCAGATATATCAATCTAACACTTTATGACAGATATTTTCCCCACAATTTTACTAGGTGATTTATATTTCAAAATTTCGAACAAGAACAAACATACAATTTATACCCTATTTATACAACTATCATATTTATATAATTTCCTCTCTTTTTTTGATTCTGATTTTGATTCTGATTTTAAAAGGGTGCGCAATAGGGGACTGAATAAAAAAGTGTACAGATTACTCTATTGTAAGGAATAAAGAAATAAACAAAAAAATAACAAAATATTTGTATGCAAACATTATTTATTATTTATCACTGTTATAGTTATCGACTTTTCTCTTTTCTATGTTAATCTGAGGAATTCCGGCATTAAAGTGAAACTGAAGTAAAACTGAAACTAAGTTGTCTCACGAGTGTAACTATCACGTAAGTAATTACTTGACTATAGAATAATGGGTGATTGAATATGCATGAGCATTTCGAATTGTTGTGTGTCGGCAGAAATCTTTATCGTCGTAAAATGTGCAGAGGAATTTCATGTGACCCAAGTTATTTAAAAAAAATAATGGTGTTTTAAAATCCTAAAAAGTCAACGTTTAAGGAATAGAGAATTATTAAATTTAGGGAGTGACAAGTTGTTTAGACGGAGTATTGTTACGAACAGGAATACGAGATAGTCTCCCGTGAACCTGGCCGCCAATATCCCGCACTTCAGGACGCAACAAACAAAAGTCAAACAAAGGCACACCAACAGAATATGTCGAATAATACTAATTTAATAATACAATAAGCATAAACCATTAGCAGAAGTAATATAAATCACAAACCGGTCAGCAATATACATTACAATAAAAATAATAGCCAAGCTCGGAATTGCCTACCCTACCTAGGTGCAAAACTCGTACTGCGTAGTTTTAGCAATAGTTCAGTCATTCACAGCAACGTTTACGACGATGAAAGTTCTACAGCTCCAAACTACAAGGTTTCAAGGAATGCAAACGACACTGACCGTAATGTTACGCGACTTCCATACCGTCCGGGCAGAGAAAGGACCAAGATCAGCAAACCACGCGAAACACAGGTCTTTGAGTAATGTTAGTTTTTCAGCGCAGAACTACAGCACGCTGTCTTGCATCTATCAATCCCACATGCCGAATTGGACAAGCATTATCTTGAGACATGCGCTGGCTGCCACGTCGGCACTGAACCACACTGCACCGGAGCTGAAATGCACTGGCCGGGAGCTGGGTGACAACTGACTCGTATCCACGTTTGTCTTGCACAAGCACGAACAAAAGAATATTAGCTAGCAATGGCAATACATGCTGTCTATTCTAATTCTAATTACAGCAAAAAAGGTATATCTCCCCCATACAAAAAAGAACGCTTTTCTAAAGAACTACAAATTCAAACTCTTAATGCAATTTTACATAACAAATCTCAAACTCGTGATAAAGCATCAGATAATAAATTATCTTTTCCAGCTATATGTACTATTTTCAAAGAGTATGGTTGTAGCATTCGTCTGACGGAATAAACTTAACCTAAACACGCCACTATACAATTCAGTGGGAAACACGCCACTATAGGATGCAGTGGCAAACGCGCCACAATACGATGTAGTGGCAAACACAACACGTCACGATACAATTCAGTGACAAACACGCCACGATACAATTCATTGGCAAACGGTCACATCTACAGTGACCAAATCAAACCTCAACTCAACCATATACAAGGGAACATACTCATAACCACCTCCAATACCCTGAACCAGCACACTGGCATCTGTACTAGCATCATTTAAAGGTACTAACTTTGCTAACATCAAAGACTGAGCTGCACCTATATATCGGAGTATAACTACATGCTTACTATCACCAACAATACTACCAAGGGATACCTTACTCTTTGACATAAAGTCTTTATACCCGTCAGGGACCTATACAATTTACCAAAAACTATCTCCTTCTCCCTGGCAAACTCAACAAATGTCTGCCCACCGGTATGCTGCAAATGCCTAAATCTATAAGCTTCGGGCACTAATTCATATGCCACTCATAATCTGAATACAGCTCCTCATCAAGAGTAGAACATACTCAGCTTTTCCAGTGAACACGCTATGCAACAATAAGTTCCAATAACGTTCAAGTCGTTTG